AAAATGAAACACACAATGAAAAAAAGAATCCCCCCAAATGAAGAGCATCAGTGAGCTGTGGGACAATTTCAAGTGGTTTCATGAATAGATAATTGGAGTACCCAAAAGAGAGAAGAGATGGGGGGAAACAGAAAAAGTATTTGAAGAAAAAATAACGGAGAACTTTACAAACTTGGTGAAAACTATAAATTCATAGATCTGAGCTCAACAAAACTGAAGCCCAATAGACTATACCAAGACACATTATAATCAAACTGATCAAAACCAATGACAAAGAAAAAAATCTTAAAAACAGCCAGATGAAAAAATATATGCTATGTATAGAGGACCAAAGATAAGAATGACAACAGATTTCTCATTGGAAACAACGCAAGCAAGAAGAGCAGCATCCTTAAAGTACTGAAAGGAAAAAACTATAAACCCAGAATTTGATAATCAACAAAAATCTTTTTCAAAACAAAGGCAAAATAAATACTTTTCTAGACATACAAAGGCTGAAAGAATTTATCATCAGCAGACCCAGACGACAAGCATCTCAAAGTAACTCCTTCAGGTAACAGGAAAATGATACCACATGCAAATGTGGATCCACACAAAAGGATGAAGAGCACCAGAAATGGTAACTACATAAATATACACAGTCCTTTCTGAAAGTCAAGCTCAAGGGAACAACAAAGACTGTCATTGCTGTGGGGGCTAAGGAAAGATTTTGTTTTGGTTTTAAGGACATAGGAGAAATTTAAGGATATATAAAGCTGATGGGAAAGCATGTAAGCAGGGAGAGGTGACAATATAGGTTAGACAGGTTGGAGTATAGGGCTTGGACAGTAAGGCGGGTCCTTGACAGAAGAGGGTCAAGCACTTCTTTGACTCTGACCTAGAGAGGAGGCTGGGTGCCTGGACAGGAAGCTCTGCAAATTTGGTGGGGGTGGCAACCTTTCTGTAGATTTTGATGGATAAGTATGTACTGCTTGTATAATCATATGAAAAACAAACAAAAGTGAAAAAAGAAGGAACTGCTTAACTTCCACACAGCTACAAGCAAGAATCTGAAAACATCTTCTTACAATCTTTTAAGTATCAACTGCTAAGGCAAAGAATTATAATACATCATATATGCATCACTCTAAAATAATTTAGGTCAAATAAAGGCAAATAGATTAGATGACATTGACTTCCACTGTGCAAGGTAGAACCATTTCATTGACCTTAACTTTTAAATTAAATTTCCCTTGTATGTACTTCAAATGTGTTTATATTTTTCCCTTTTTCTAATTCAGAAAGAAAAACGTTCCTTTCTTTCTCCAGCCTAATTGGGCCACCAGGGTCCTTAAATCCAGCCATTCTTTCCTCTTTTCCATTCTCCACCAGAACCTTACTCTCACATTTTTAACATGCCCACTACTGTTGTTTCTCCTTTCTCAAAACTCACAAACAATAATCTTTTCTCCGTCTTGTATTCAGTTCAAGGTACCATTCCCTACCTACCTTTCTTCTCTCATGCCCAAGTTCCAAATAATTCATATTCACAGTTTCCATTTTGCAGTCTGGCTTTTGCCTTCAATCCACTATTGAAATTACACTCTTGTAGCTCACAGATGATTGACTGATTAGTAGTTTTTTTTTTTTTTTTAGCCCTCATCGTTCTTGACATTTCTTTTGACAGTTGATTATCCTTCCTTTTTGAAACTCTTCCCCGGGTTTGGGACACTGTAGGACTCTGTTTTTTCTCTTCTACAAATGGCTTTTCCATTCATTCCATTCATGGCCTTTTTCCTGCAACACTCCAAAATAAGGTGTTCCCCAAGACCCTGTCCTCTTTTCTTGGCAATTTTTTCGATAATCTTTCCTATTTACCCTTGCATTTCAAATACCACCTTTATGTGAATGATTATATACAGCCAGTATCTCTTTTGTGAACACCCAACCTATACTTTCAAATGCCAACAGGACATGGCCACCTTAGTGTTACTCTGGCGGCATCTCAAACACATGTCCAAACTTACCAGCTCCTCCACAAAATCCACTTTTTTGGGTTTTGTTGTTGTTAATTATTGAACATTTTCTCAGTCAGACAAGACTAAAGACTTTGAATCATCTCTTACTCCTCTTCCTTTCCAAAACTTGCTATCAGTCATAAAATTCTTCCCATTCTTTATGTCCAAAGGCACATTCATTTGTCATGAACTTCTCATCACCATCATTTCCACCACTATGGTTAAGGCTGTCATCATCCCTCACTTGCACAACCATGATCACTTCTTGACTGGTGTCTCGCTCCACTTTCCCCTAATCCAATCTATCCTATTCAGTGCTGCCGGAGCATTTTTCCCAAAAGGATAGCTCTGATTCTAATACTTCCCTGATCAGAATCGCTAATAGTTTAATTGTCTCTAGAATAAATCTAGACTCCGTAAACTGGTATTCAAGAACTTCATAGTTTAGGCCTCAAACATGTATTTTTTCCATCTTATAAATATAAGATATCAATTTTCTGTTCCTATGGATTAGTGTTTGAGAGTATGGACTCTGCAGCCAGACTGCTAAGTTTGCATCCTGGCTCCTCCTCTTACTAGCTGTGTGACCATGGACGAGTATCTTAACCTCTCTGTGCTTCAGTGTCTTCATAAATAAAAGGAAAAATAACCATTACAGGATTGTTGAGAAAATGAAACGTATGAAAAATGCTTAGAAAAGTGCCTGGCACATAGTAAGCTCTACATAATGTGTTTCATTGAACAAATATTTACTGATGCCTACACATACGCACATACGCCAGGAACTCTCCTGAGGACTGGGGGATAGTACCAGCCAACAAAAATCCTTGCCTTGTGGAGCTTACATTCTATACTAAAAATAATGACCAATAATTGTACATAATTGTCTGTTTCTGAAATTCCCTTCTTTCTACATTATCACCTTTAAAATTCTACCCTTCCTTCACTAAAATGCCATCTTACCCTTTGAAATCTTACCTTGTAGAAGGTTCTCATTTGAACTCCTCCAACTCTTTAAATCTGAATTACAGC